ATTACGGTGGCCAAATGGACTGTTCTGGGCTGGCCACCAACCATCACCTAACAGGCGGCTGCACAACCATCTAGGGATTTTTATCACTACTGAATCCACACTATTGGCTCCTGAGAGAATTCCACAAAGAACAACAATAAAAACACGAAAAAGCACTTCTGTTTACTGTGTATCTACTGTGTGTCAGCCCTGTGTGTGGTTCCATGGAGATGATCTCATTCAACTTTTGCAACAATGTTGAGCGGTCAGCATCATCCCCTACGGAACACAAGTGGAAGCTGAAGCTTTGAGATCTTAAGTCCTTTGACCAAGGTCTCACAGTAAATGGAGGAACTGGGATTGCAACCAAGAAAACTTGACCCTGGAGTCTGCCCTAACTCTTGCTCATGCCTGATACTGTGCTAAGTTACTCTCTCAGTGAACTCCCATTGGGTGCATGAGCTAGAGGGATTGCTAAACAGCTGGCTCTCTCTGTGCACACCAGCAGAGGAAGGCTCAACATGTAAGCCAGAGAGCAAATGTGTGCTATATGCCCACTGACATGCTAACTTGCAGAGCTGGCAAGTGGTAAGAACTACCGATGGGTCCATAGCCCAGTGGCTCTGCATCCTAGTCACATTGGACCAGAGAACTAACTGACTGAAGAAGAGAAGTGCATGAGGCTCAAGTCATTTTTTTCATACTGGAATCTGGTCCTGTTCACTCTTAATCTATTGCTGGAAAACTGTCAGGCTCTGGGAGACAGAGTGAGATGGAAAGAAGGAGGCAAGGATTATTGTCCCAAATTCCCATATCTCCATTCTCTTTTTTGGTTTCAGTGAGAGCCCAAGGGGAGGGTGGGGGGAGGCAAAGACATCTGGCTTGGCCATGTGTGAATTATCCCCCACTTCATTCACCTTATGTTATTGGACCTTTAGCAGCCTGAGGTGACTGCCATCTTAACCTAGAACTTTAAGACTGCTCAGAAGACGTTAACTCATCTAAACTACCTTTACGTTATACAATTTAGAGCTGGTAGGACTCTTGGGGATAATTTAGACCAATATCATCTTTCTCCTAATTACCACCAACCTACAGCTAAGATCCTCAGTACCATTCTGTGGAAGGAAGGAAGGAATAGAAAAAAGGAAGTTAGTTAGCTAACTAAGTTTCTAAGAGGTTAAAATAACTTATGAGGGTTCATCAGGCTGATGGCAAAACCAAGAAAGGAACATAAGTTTCTAAATTCCTAGTATGTGGTCTTCCCATTATATCATCCTGCCACTATTTTTTCCCTGAATATCCACAAGTTGTCCATCTGTCCATTCATCCATCCAGTCAAGAGAATCCTTATTGCCTACCATCTGCTAGGCACTGGAAAGTGCAAAGATGAGTAACTCCCCACTTTTGTGGGTTCTAAGAAAAGTAACCAATTCTTGCACTGTGTCTGGCCTAGAGAAGCACTCAATACCTGTTTGCTGCAGAGAAGGTACTCTGTAATAATTGTTGAATGAATGAATAAGCGCATAAACAAACAGAAGTGAGTCCAGCATAATCTGCACTGCTGGGCTTTAAAAACACTAAGTGATAGGGTTGGTGGAGGACTTACTCCTTCACATGGCCTTTCCTAGGGTGTCTTGTGTTAGTTCAGGAGCTAAGATCTCAGGACTTTGGGATCAGAAAGACTTATATTAGAATCTTGCTCTACCACCTACTCATCATATGCCCTTGGACAAGTCAGTACTGTCACTGTCCTCTCTGACTCTTGCTCTGAAAGAGGAAAACGAACAGAACTTCTCTTGTTATGTTGATGGGAAGATTAGAACTTGGTAAAGCAAATGCTCAAGAAATATAAGCAATTCCTACCAGGAGTTCCTATCAGTCTTAACTAAAAGCTTCTCTATTTTATTCATCCATCTATCCATCCATCCATCCATCCATCCATCCATCCATCCATCCATCCATCCCTCTGCACTTCCTATTTGCTAAGCTTTATCTTAATGCTCATAACAACATTATGAATTAGGTACTATTACCTCTCATTTTATAGACAGGAAAAAAGAAGCGAAGAGGATACATGACTTGAAGTTATGTAAATAGAAAGTGGCCAAGCTGGGACTCCCAGGAGAGCATCCTGGCCCCAGAGTCCATGCACGTGGCCATCACGATATGCCTCTTGCCAACACTGGAAGGAGGTTCACTTCCTGTCCCCTGAAAACATGAACGGTCTTTTCACCACTATTCCTGTATGATTCAAAACTCAGGAACAGTAACTCTCGCAAGGTTAATACCTTACACTTAAAAGAAGAATGTGAGCATCACAATGGTCCTGTCAGCCTGGCAAGGCATAGCTCTGAATTCACTTGGCAGAGGAGTGACACGGCTCACAGAAGCGAAGGACACCGAAACACCCGTGGTTAGACGCTCGCCATCTGCAGCTTCTGTGGCACCATCGGGTTGTGACCGTGTGGTTTCCCTGTATGTGACACAGCTGGCTGGGTGGGACTGGAACCTCCATGTGAAGGCAGGGAAATCACAACGTGTCCAGATAACTCGAGTGGCATTTCTCACCTTGGAAGATGTAGTCACTGCCTCGTGTGTCACCTTTGGAGTTCTGTCTTATCTACTCTAAATCTTCATCATCATAATCATATTTATAGTAATAATAACAATAATAGTCTTTAATTTTTAGCTCTATAAACCAGACACTTCACCTATGTCATCTCATTTAACCTTGTAACAACCACATGAGGTAGGTGTTGCTGTCCACATTTTAAAATGGCATACAGAGTTCCCTTTATTTCTCCATCCATCCATCCATCCATCTGCCCAGCCCTACGACATGCCAGGCCTGTGCCAGGCACTGGGGCTGTGAAGACGAGCAAAACCAACTAAACTCCACAAGTAGTGGCAACATGACAGCAGGTATGAGGAGTAGGAAGGGGACACCATGGGCTGTGAAAGCACAAAGCTCTGTGACCTTCTCATGACAATAATTTTATAAATCACACACCGACAAAAAGGGATCAGGAATACATCAACCTTTTAAAATTATTTTATCAGCCACACCATATCTACATATACTTGAAAAACAGTCAACTATACTATATTGTTTATTTATCAACCCAGTGGACAGATTGGCACATTTGGGGATTTTATAAAATAAATCCACATCTCTTGCCCACAGGTTCTGAAAAGGTAGGAACGATTGGCTGGCATATGTGTCTCCCTCTGCTGGGCTGTGAGCTCCTTAGGGGCTGCTCCTTGTTTCAGTGCCTAGAATATAATAAGTGTTTAACATGTGTCGACACAGCAGATACATCCATGGACACTCAGTAGCCTTTCATTCATTCAACAAATATTTGAGTACCTACTATGTGCCACGCGCTGGTCTGGAACCTGGGAGGGACTGCAGAAGTGAAAAAATGGGTGAAGTATCTGCCCTTTTAGAGCTCACATTCTACTGAGTTCAGGGAGAATTAATGCATTTCTCTTTTGACCCTTCAGGGAAAAGCAAAACTAAACCTTCAAGGATTTTGTTCTTGATTATTTTTAATCAACACAAAGATGACTCAGATGTACATGTTTCCCATCTCCTTTCCTTTCTGGCTACAGGCCTCATCACAAAATATTCCCTGCCTGGAGGTCAGGGGTCTCAGATGGACAGGGCGAAAGGCTCTGCCCTCCTCCCACATGGCTTGGGAGAGGCTCCATTTGTGTTCCAGGGCCAGGGACCTGCCACTCTAAAGGAGCCTCTTCAGATGCGGTCAGCCTGTCAGTGCTTATCAGATGCAGTCGAGATCTCTGCATTAGGCCAGCTTTGCACAAAAGGTTCTGTCCCCTCCCCTTCCCAGGTATATGGTTTTGACAGGGATCTGAACGGGTGGTTAGGAATTCAGGCCATGGAATGCTCCAGACATGAAGACGGTTTATATGACTCTGCTCATGCCATAAGTAACAGACAAAAGTTGAGGTCATTTATTTTATTTAAATATTACATTTTATGGATCCATGCATTCTCCCAGGATACCCAACCCACAGGCTGCCTTGAGGCTACTTGGGATGCATGTGCACCATACATCCACGCTCCTACCATTTATTGGGACCAGCTTGCTTCATTTCTACGATCCTGCCTGAGACCTACCTATTAAATACTGTCAGCCCTGGCTGTAACATAATCCTGGCTGAGATTCACATGCAAGATGTAATCTTGACAAGCCATTTGGAATCTCTTCTGAAAAAAATGTAAAAGCCAGCATTCTTCCAGAGGAATGAATCAGTCTGATAAAAATGTCTACAGGGGAAGCCTAATCAGTCCACATGAGAACTTGTCAGTAGAACCTCTACTTGGACTGTAAGATTAAACCATCTTCATAAATTGTTATTAGAGGGAAGCATGGTCCATTCAGCTAAAATGCTCCTCTCCGATTTCCAGTTAGAAACTCTGGTTTGCATTTCTCGGATGGAAACACTGGCAAAAGCCATGTCTAGAATGAGCATCAGAACCAAAATCTCACTTTTGCTCACTGCTGACAGCTCATTTTTAACCTGTTAAAGCGAGACGGCAGCTCTTCTCTTTCCTTAGGCTGTTTGGCAGTTCTGAAACGGAAACCCTGCCTCACTTGATTATTTCTGGTGTTTTTTTTAAAACATCCTTTTTTGACCTCTTATCCAAATAATCACCCACTGATTATTGTAAAGGTACACTACTATTTAGAAAATCCTGCAAGATCTCGCTCAGGTTGGAACAGGAAATGCTTTATGTCATTTTAATGTTTATCAACATTTGTGGTGAAATCATGTCATTACAAGGGAAAACATTTTCAGATGATTTTTTGATATCGTCTAAAGCAATTAGCGTGTGAGTTCAGGACAACACATGATGAAGAACCATCTCAACGGAGGCTTTGCCAAGTAAGTAGCAATTTCATTCACCCATCACATTAAATTGTGAGAGTTTCCATCAAAGATTTTTAAAATGAATTCTTTTCAACATTTGTATCTTTCTTCCCTTCTCACAGTAATTCATACCAACGGGGAGAACAAGAACAAATGCGATTCTAGTCCTGGTTCTGCCGCTTGCTGACTGAATGACCTTGGGGAAGCCACTCAGCCTCCCTCAGCTTTCATCTCACCATGTGCAGAATGGGATAACATCGTTGGCTCACACAGCTGTTACAAGGACTGAATACAGCACCTGGGACACTTTGTGGGCCAAGCACAATGCATAGAGCACCTTACACAGTGGATAATTACTTGTTCAATGAATAGATCAGTGAACGACTATATTCCTACCCACACTATAATGTTCTAAATCAGCAGTCGGCAAACTTTTCCTACAAAGGGCCAAAGAATACATACTTTAGGCTTTGTGGGCCATATGGTCTCTGTCACAACTACCGAACTCTGTGTCCTAGCACGAAATGAGCCACAGACAAGAAACGAATGATTGTGTCTATGTGGCAATAAAACTTTATTTGCAAAGACAGGAAGGGGCCTGGATTTGGCCTGCAAGTCAGAGTCTGCAGACCCATGATCTAAAAAGGCCTAGCCTGCTAACGACAAACCAGACTCACTCTCAAAGTAAGTGCTCAGTCATGACTTACAAGCCCAGTGCTAACACTGGGCTCAAATATTTCAAAGGGAAACCAGGAGGCAGTGAGAAACCAGTCCCTCCCAGCTGCACTCCAACCATTTCCTGTGTCCTGTCACACTTTTCCCAACATTGTCAGGAGCCCTCGTGGTCTCACAGGTATGCTGGGGCCCTTCCAGCCATCCGGGGATTCACCATCCTATAAACCAACCTGTTTCACCCAATTTCTCCTTGGGACCAGGCCTATCATGACGCCCTGGCAGATGGAAGGCTCTCCTGGAGTTCATCCCTTCTTTTCCTACTCAAACCAAGGACAACCCTCTTTTGTCCAAACTCCTCTGAGACAGAGACGGGAACCCAGGTAAATAAATGAAAATGCTACTCCTTCCACACTCCTTTTAACTCAGGAATATAGAGTCATTCTGAGACTGATGGAAAGGCATGGGCCAGACACGCTCAATGGATGGGTTGGGGCTTTTTTGAGGTAACAATTCTATGTACTGAGCGCCTACTGTTCCAGTCACTGCCAAAAGCATAGAAGACTTGCCCAAAGACACAGCCTGGAACAGGGACTGGCACCCAAGCTGTTCTAACCCAGGACTGACCAACTTCAAAGCCCAAGTTAGGAGAAACCAGTCTCTGCTCCTGGGTACAAATGGAGCTCTAATCCATTGCATACTCACTGGAGCCAGGCTTTCAAAGTCAGTACAATTTGCAAGGATTTTACTTACTGATGCGTTCACTTGTGTTTTGCCATCTCCCCACTGGTCTATAAATTCAGAAGAAACTCATCTGTATGCCTAGCATAGTCCTTGGTACATTGTAGGTGCTTATCACATATTTGTAGCATTAGTTAAGAAAGAATAGCAATGAGGATGTTAGATAGCAGTAACTGTCTGGGAGTCAGGCCCTGGGCTAAGAATTTGACGTGCATTATCTGAACAACCCCTCCAGCTCCACAAGTTAGTTACTGTTATTTTTCCCATTTTATTGATGATGAAACTAAGGTTCTGAAAGGTTAATCCTTTTAGCCCAAGGTCGGAAAGCTAACAAATGGCAGAAGCGATAACTGAGCCCAGTTCTGTGAGGCTCTTAACCCGGATTCCTCCTCCTCCGTCCAGTGCCCCCCACACAATGAATGCCCTTGTCCCAGCCCAGACAGTGAGCCCGCTGGCCCAGGGCCCTGTTTCTTCCACAACAAATCATCTTTTTTCTTTCTCCCTGACCATGTTTGTTTCTAGCGTCTGGAAATTGCCCTCACCTATAAAATCAGGATAATTTTCCATTGTCAACACACATCGCAACCTCCTCCATGGGGTTTTGGTGAGAACTAACTTCTTTTGCAGCCATTAATTAAGCTGTTAAAAGTACAAGTAGCCTTTTCTCCATTTTTACATGGCTTCCCAAATGGTTAATGCTGATTTCTTTCTTGGTGCAAACACAAGGAGCTCATAACTTTTCAATGGATTATGAAAGTTATTCCCCCAGGGGCTCAGCATGGCAGTCATCACTGGGCATAGCTTTGACATGACGTCAGGGAATTCAGTCCTTCCAGCGCTAATGGTGGTTCTTAATAATATTATTGGAATTATTACTACCTTCAATTAAAAGGCTGGCTATGAATGATTTACTACTTCAGAGAGATTCCCCAAAGAATCACGTTAGAGTTTGCTGTCTTTTCGCCAAAGGGCACCATAAGAACAGGAACCAGAGTCCTAGCCCATCCCCCACATAAATACATTAATTAATAAATGCGCAGCATTCAAATATTTTATGATTTTGGCTGACTACCAGGTTTTAAATTGACTTCCTTAAAAGTGGATAGGGCTGGCTAATCACTACCACTTTGTTTTGAAAACTAAAAGGAAATCAGGAAAACTTTAAATTTTTTCTTCAGTTTTACTCACCAAACAACATTACAGTATTAACAGTGCAGCTGTGGCCACCACCTTCCTCTTGCAGGAGGCAGGGAGACACAGGAGTTGGGTTCAAAGACAACAGGATGAATGGTCCCTGGTGGAAGCACTGCCTATGACATCTCCCTTTACACTATCTGTGGGCTGAGAACAGCCTGAAGAAAGAATTTCGAAGCCAGGTGAGTGGTTCATTGGATTCAGGGTAAGTGAACTTGTCTGACTCTGCAAATGAACTTAGAGTGGGAGGTAGTTCTTAATGAAAAAACTGGATCCAAAGAGGGCTTTGGCTGTACCCAGAAGCTGATGCTCAGACAGCATGGGAATATGTCACCCACCTCCAGGGCGACGAGGCCCAGGTGCCAGGACACCATCTTCATCTTCGGAAGTAGAGTTAGCACATCCCCAGACCAACCGACAGAGAAGAGATCTCAAGAGTATGGGGACTCAGGTGCAGAATTTCACTGGAGGGATCTCTGAGGCTAGGAAAGGTGGTGAATTCATACCCAGGAGAGCAGGGAAGCTAGGGTACCCACAGAAGGGAGAGAAAGTGTGAGCTGAGGTCCAAGAGGAAGAATATGCTGGGATGCAATATCTGGTCCATAACAAACCCTTAAACACTTGTTGGACTAATGAACAAACGAATGAATGACTAGGAGAGACCAAACATCCTGCTTGGCCCAAAAGCTCGGTCAACTTAAATGAACATCAGCCAAAAGGGTGATCTGTGTGCAGCGCTTAGGCTAATTTTGACACATATTCAACAATATGCTTCCTTGCTTTGAACCCGACCAAACCCAAGCCAATCAAGTTGCATACATTTATGGTACTTTTGTTTCTGTGGGGTGTGTTTAATTTTTGTTTCTAATAAAATTATTTAACCTTTTGGGTTGCTCATGAGTTTATCAAGGGCAGGGAGAGATGTCTTTACACTTAGATCAGGCTGAGAGAGATGAGGTGGGACATCCCTCTGATGAGGGATGAGAGGCCCAGAGGGCTGGAGCCCCAGGAAGAGCCATGTCCCACTGGGAGGAAGCGGCCTTAGGAGGCTGCCTGGGAAGTCCTGTGCTGCCTGGTATTAAAAGATGCCATGATACATGGGGCCCCTGGCTGCATTTTACCTCCCTGGGAGTAGAGATCTGTGGCTGTGTTAGAGCAGCCAAGCCCCGGCCTCCATTCTTTGTTTGCCTCCTCCGTGACTAACTTAGCCTTCCTCCTTCCTTGACAGTCCTGTCCTTGTCCAGCTGTCTTTGTTAAGGAATGAGATTCCTGGTTTTTCCAACAAGGCTCCCGTTCCAGAAGTGGCCTTGCGGCCTGATTCTGCCCAAGTTTCTGTCTGTTCTTGACACATATTATTGCGTTCTCTGTCGTATCTTTCTAAAATCCTCCCTTACCTACAGCCCTGGAAGGAGAAACCTCACAAACAGCTTGATCTGCCCTAACTTGCTCGAGTTGACTGTACCAAGTAAAGTCTCCCGCTCCCGGCAAATAGGAATCTGGCCAGTGACCTGTAGCTTGTGGCCCAGTTCTGAGGTTGACCAATGAGCTTCCTCCTCTAGGGATTGAGAAAGAGGGATTCCAGGAGGCTGAGTCAGTCCATGAAAAGGCTGTGGGGGCATGCGGGCTGTGGCCAGAGTATAATGAAGGTAGAGGAAGTTGGATGAGAGGAGAGAGAACACAGGAGGAATGGAAGACAAACATGCAGACTTCCCACTCTCTAGATCCAGTCCTGGGCAGCTCAGCTCTGCTTCCAGTCTTTAACTCTGTGACAGTCCCCCCTGCAGGTTTTCAACAAACCCCCTGCAGCACATGCTCTTGTCACTAGCTCATCCTTCAGGATAGTTTCTTTTTGTAGCAGTAACTTGATTTGTTTCCTTCAGAGAATCACCCTTTGCTCATTGTCAGACCCTGGGCCTAAACCAATCAAAATATCCTGTTTCTGAGCCACACAGTGATTGGTTCATGGATGGGAACATGGTAAAAGCTGGTATGATGAGTTTCACCTGGGGACTTTGGCTGGAACTATAAAGAGAGTGAGCCTTCATGCTTCTGGCCTATCTATATTATTAAATAAATATTGGGTTGTCGGAAAAGTCATGACGCATTTTTGCAACGAAAACCAGAAAAAATATATCATGACTTTTCCGACAACCCAATATCTGGGGAGGTCAACAGCTGTTTTTCTATCTTATGGCGAATCTTTTGGTAGAATTCTCCTTAAGAATGAAATATCTTTAGGGGAAAGCAAAGCCAAGAGAAGGTGAGAGACAGAGTCCTAATGATATTTTTTTATCCCCTGGATCCAGCCACACCTGATACCATTACACCCGACTTCCCAGTTATACAAGCCAACATATCTTCCCTTTAAAAAATAGTTTGAATTGAATACTATATATTCCTTTTGGATTCAGATAGCCTGGGTAGGTCATTATTCTTTGCAGCACAGAAACCTTCCCTCTCAATCCTGTCCCATTTTCCCTACCTTGTCAGGAAAAGGTGGTAAAAGATGAGCAGAAATTTCTACCTTCAATTATCTTGGTGCTTTTGTAAGCTCCATATTCTCCAATTAGCTATCTTTTCCACCCATCTTGCTATTTCTTTAAGTTTTTCAGTTTGATTCAAGTAGTCTTAAATGTCTTCTGAGAGCATAAGAGGATCACGAGGGATATTTTATGGTGAAGAATAAAAGTGTTGCCCACACCCAAATTCCATTGGCCAGAACCCAGTTGCATTTTGGGGAAATGTAGTCTTCCCTTAGACCCATGAAAGGGAAACAGCACTGGTGAGTAGATAGTTTCTGCTGCACTAAAACACTATTGGCCCATAGTAGGCACTCAATGTTTGTTGAACGAGTAAACAATGAGGAACATGTAGAGTTGGGGTTTGTGGGTAATTCAGAGATTCCTTCTTACACTATCAGGTAAAGAGGAAAACAGTGGAACCTGAACAGCCATATTCCATCATCATTCATGGGTGAGCACTTTCCCTCTCCTAGGAGCCTGCTAAGTTCCATCTCTCTACACATTCACCCCAAATTTCCTCTCTGGCTCTCATGCCTTCTTCAGAGCAGAAGTTTAATTGATTAATTTTGTTTTCTACCCTGATATTTTCTCTCCATGTAATTATACTCTACCATTCCCATACCACCCCAAAGTGTGTCAAATATCCCATTAGGTGGGATGAAGAAGGGAGAGAAGAGGAGGCGTTTGCTTGTGAAATTCACATTGCATATGGATTTAGAAGTGTTTTACTCTCAAGACTCAGTGGTCCAGAAATAGATGAGGATCAATATTTTCCTTGACTGGAAAAAAAAGGATAATTTTACACTGAAAGTCACATATATACAGGTGTATGGATGCCTCTATTTGCCTGCAGAGTAAATAATGATGAAGTCTTGTTACTGCTTTATTTACATGGGCTTATATTTCCATGAGCATTTATAGCATAGAAATTTACTCTTAGGCATTTCAGAGGGAGTGGCTGTTCAGCTGCACGAAGTTTTTGTGCAGCACTGGTCTACCTGCGCTCAAGGGTGGGGCTCTGCAAGCATGTCCTTCTGACACTATTATGGTTGGTCAGCAAGTGCACACATTAAGCAAGAGGTTGTTTTTGTCACAGGTACAAGGCAGGTGCAAGTTTTTTGGCTATTCTGTCCCATCTACGGGTGTGTTTCAGTCATAGGTTAAGCCTTTAAGCCTTTTATTTTTATTTAATAATAATGTATTTTTCCCAAAGTGAACCTTATTTTCAAAGAATGTCTTCTTATAAAGTTAAATTTTTCATTTCTCCTTAAATTTTTGTTAGATCAACACAGAGATCAAAATTACGTGTATATTTGTACAATAAACTATTTTAAAACAGGATCAAGGTGTCTTGTTTAAAGGAGTATTACAAGAAAGATATCAGAGTATGATCAAGGTAAAAAATGAGATGAGCAATCATAGACTTGGAATGCAACTTTTTCTTCTTTTTTAAATAAAAAGCTGGGCTAACATTTCCTTGAATGCTTCCTTGACATTGATATTTCCTTGATGATTGAAAAGATTTTTCAAAATCTTATTTTGCCTTGAAGCAATTATTATGAGAATCAATTATCACCATGTGGATATAAAATTCTAAAAAAATACAACGTTAGGAAAAAAGGGAGTCTCTAATGCCTCTTCTAGGGTATGATTCTGTTTTTGATGTACCTGCAACTCTATCACCAAGTTGAATTTTACCAGACTTGGAGGAATTTGCAGGCGTATTCCTTATTAGTGCTGCCATCTTGGGCAAGTGACTCAACCTCTCTGTGTTTCTTCATCTGTAAAATGAGGATAACTAGAATTCCTACCTCATAGGGGTGTTGTGAAAGTTACACAAGTCAATACACATCAGATTCTTAATAGAGTTTCTGGCACAGCGTCAACTTAATTGCTCTGATTATTTTCTCATTACTTTTCAACATATTACTGGACAAGGGTATCTTTGTAGAAATCTGTGGCTCCCATTGTAGTAAAATCAGACTTCAGGCAGCATCTAATGTCGAAGATAAAATATTTAGAAAAAACTAAGTATTAAATTTTAAATAAAATTGAGACTGAATTATTAATGCAAAGCAATTTTCACTATAAATATTAGGCCTCCTGGTTTCAAGGTACGTGGAAAAAATCATGAGAGCCAAACTCACTAATGCCCTCCAGATTTTGGGGTGCAAGGGTGGGCTCAAAAGCAACTGCGGACATATAATGATAAAGAGGCCTTTGTGGACAGGATGAAGGAGGTCAGAGAGATGCCAAAAGTAGGGTGGGGTGCGAGAGAGCAGCCCGGCCCCACGTGCAGGCTCAGGGCCCAGGCAACCTGAGTTAGAGCATCAGTGAGCTGCCAACAGGTTGGTTGATCTTGGCAAGTCCTTTAAGTCCCAGTACCTCCATTTTGCCATCTATAAAATGAGAATAATAATACCTCCTCTTTCTTCAGTCTAAAATGAATAAAAGAGAATATAGAGTGCTTCAAACCTTAATAGTTAAAATGAATAATTGTTCTACAACAAACCTGGATTTCTTGTGTAATAAGGAAAGACTTCGTAAAAGCTACTTATTAAGAAAAAAAGTTAGTGTAGTTATGTGAAGACATAGATTTGACCTGATGTTTCAGGAAAAGTGAGGACTTATGCTTTAGAAAATCCCAGTGTTTGAAACACAAGACCAGGCACTTATTATGACCTTCAATGAGTTAACTAATTTTTCTCAAGGCTGTTTTTCCATATGTTAAAACTACGACAATATCACATGCCTCATAGGATCACTGTCAGCAACAAAAAATGATAAAAATACATAAAGTCCTCTGGCACTTAGTAGGTACTTTGTGTGTATAGTGTATGTGTGTGTGTGTGTGTGTGAGTGTGTGTGTGTGTGTGTGTG